GTTAAACAGTATATCCCAATAAAACACTACCTCAGTCATACTTCATTTGCATGCACACTAAGGCAGCAAAGAGAGAATAATTAACAGCAAACCTGTTCATCTTTTTCTATCCATTGACTCCATTCATCATGCTCTAAAATTTGCTCATCATGATCCTCAGTTTCTTCATCCTGATTCTTGGCAGTATCACCCTTCCAGTAACAGAAAAGTTATTATTTTGGCACAGAAAACCACCTAGTCTACATGTAGATCTATGGACTACATTAGGAAGGTATGAAGACCATGACCAGTCACAGAACTAGACTTGACTTGACAGCTCACTAGATTTGCAACATGAATTTAGGGAAGCAGTTAATCTAGAGCTAAGACAACCATGAAGATATATTATTTGTTTGTCAAGGAACTTCTTCTCTCCTTTGACATCGTTCATATAATACAAAATGGAAAATTTCCATTATTTCATTTGCTGGCCAGGAAGCATCTGTTAATACTCTGATTCCAGAAAAAAACGGAAGTTGCATGGAAGTGAGGCTTAATAGCCCTCACTGCAAATTTAAAATAACTAACATGGCAAACAATCAAGTGATCTTACTGCAGAGGGCATTCTTGGTCCTAGCTATATTGAAGAAGAGATAGAAAAATTGACCGTTGCTCAACTAATGTTTTGGTTAAAATGCTGCAGTGTTTTCATCTTCACACAGCATAGCAATTTTACAGACAATTTCATCACTTCTCGCAGCTAAGAAATATGCTTTGCAAAGTGTCTTTTGACATAGTTTACATAAGACAAACTATTCAAGCATATAAAGAGTGCCTTAGCAGAGCCGCATCTTATTTAAGACACAAACACATTTTGTGAGTCATTTATACAAGAAGTTCATGAGACATGTCTTATTCTTCCCCATATAAGAAGCCCAATTGTTAAATAACTTGTGATGTAGTTGTATCGTGGAAATGACAAGAAAGACACTTTTAATGATTGAGTCATTCTTTAAAAACTCCAAAAGACTGTAAAAGATGATTTGTGATTTTTGGTATCGCGCATTTTGTGACTTCAAGTTGTAAAGTCATCAAATAGTCGTCATTTTCCTTTTCCATCAAGGGTTTTTAAGTGTTACAATGGCTGCTTCGAAATCAATGTGTTCTTTTATAGCTAGCACCATATTATTTGTCTATATTTGGCGATAACAAGATAAGTAGACAGTTTTTAAAAAATAGGCCTCTTAGAGGGCTGACATGAGCTTACTGGCAATGAATAATCTGTACAAAAACCACATTCTTGCAAAACAAAATCGTTCATCGAGGAAGTCACGTTGTGTAGCAACTTCTTATCGGCACGTAAAATTTGTGTCACTGTTTGTTACGTGCTATAAGCACATCAGGTTACTTTGGTGGCCGCAGGCAAAGCTTAAACTTTTACAGACCCCATTCTGGGACTATTATAATTTCTTGCCAACAATAAGCACACAAATGTCATACCAAATTAACATAAGATGAAATTTTAAAAATGCCAGTTGTTTCGAAATTATGCAAATTTGTGACACTTCAATTGAATGTTAAAATAGTAAAAGTGAGTGATTCATCTTTGCATTTTCCCACATTCCAATTTTCAATGTTTAATATTACCAATGCTTAAAATATTCATTACAAGTCAAATAAAGCAATTACAAATGGATAGAAATAGCAAAGAAATGAATTTGGCAATTCGAGAATTTAAAACAGAGCACATTTCCTGTAATATTATAGTTGAAAGACCATTTGTCATGAACGTAAACACCTTACATTTTTAAATAACATAGCATAATATCCTGCTTGACCTTTTTAAAAAACCCTAAGAACAATCAGTGTCGAATTCCTCCTTGCCATAACAACATTTTATCAAACACAATAAAAAAATGGGAGCTAGCAGGTATCGAACCCAGTCCCTTTGGCTCTGAAGGTTATGCGTTATTGCACATACGTGAACAATAGAAATGACCTTACATTCATTCATTTGTTCATGCCGACGATAGCATACAGTGTTACTGGTTATAGAGTAAGCTCAAAAAGGGAGTACTGTGTGTGTGGGACATATAGGGGTGGGGAAGTTCACAATTCACTTTGGCCCCAGGGGCCGGAGTATTCACTAACCTACACTTGCATGAAAAGTGAATGCCCTGGTCATACCTGAGGCAGGGGGGAGGGGTGCAAGGGTTTCAAATGATGGGCATTATGCTTTAATAAACAGTTACTACTCCTAAAAACGCCTAGGAGAACTATACGCTAGCCAATTACTAACTAATCTGTAGGTTGTGTGGGCAATGCAGAATTCCTAAAGCAATATCAAACTGTGTTCTCTGCGACTGTGTGTTTTTGCTATTTTCTTCAAAACAAGGTACATATTATAATAAGACAACTATCAGACTTTTGTGATATCCGTAATAATCGTATATTGGTAACTGCTATATGCCTCCGCCTTCAGTGTCGGATAACACAAACATCTCATCCAAAATTTGTTTAGCATTGTGCAAAGAGCTCATGGACATTTTATCCATTCTTTGATACGAGAGATAGGCTTAAAAAGAAAAGGGTTTTCAAATTTATTCGGATTATTGTGGACCAATTGCATTTTACACGTATTGCAAGACCACCCTTTGCACAATTCTTTCATCACATTAAAATATAAGTCATTTTTTTTCAAAGCTACAATTTGATATTACAACCTGGTTGCTTTTAGCTCTTGTTTTCTTCTTCTTTCTTTTCTTTTTCGCTTTTGCGGCGTTGGTTCCGTCCGCAGCATCTTTGCCCTTCGCGCTAGTTCCAGCCTTGCTGCCTACACCAGTCTCGTCTTCATCATCAGTAACGTGTAAAACGGCGAAACGGCACGCTGTTGGTAAGTCTGTCAGCGAAGCCATCCCTTAACTGGAGACTTTCAGAATTAAATCGCTGTGCTTTAGAACGTTTCAAGCCATTTAGTCACCTCGATGTAAGAAATTTAAGGTGTTATTATTGCAGCCAAACGAGGAAACGCAGAGTGGGACTAAGGACGAGCTGGCCGCTGGCCGCTGGCCGCATATGGCGCGCCGTTTGTTTCAAAATTCATTTTTTAATTGGTTATAAATTTTTAATCAGTTTTGCGGATCGGATTTAACGACCAGTTATCGATCAATTAAAATATTATTATATTGTGCTAATTTTCTACCAGATACGTAAAATCGATCAGCCAGCATATCATCAATCGGTAATCTGTCTTGTGAATTCGCTCATATGTCTGTACGATCGATCAGTTGTCCGTAATCAACCATGAGAAGCTGTCTCAAATTTTGATCAGTTTTGCTGATAATCGATCAGTTTATTGTAGATCACTATACAGCCAGCCGGTTCTCACTTTTGATAAGCGCCAAATTTGCAGTACGAGCTGTCAAGCGTTTGAATGAATGAACGTTAATAGAGTTACGCTTCAACGAAACAAAGAATTGATTATCTTTATTTGCTACTTATGGTTGTTACGAAAAAGTGTATTGCGTCACTAGCGTGACTTTCTAGAAGGTTCGCGAGAGTTCATAGCTTGTTTATTTTAGGATCTTGTGTAAGCGTTTCTAAAGCGGTATATTTTGTAATCTTTCTATAATTAGACTATTTAGAAAGTTCTAGAATCTTATTGTAAACGTATATAAGTAGGCGAGTCCGAGTTAAGTTTTAACTAGTTTTCACAAGCGAGGAGAGTTCGACGTTAGTCGTGTTTAGTCAAGTGTGACGAAAGCAGTGTTTATTCAAGTTGGCGGAGGCCGTGTAAGTTTATCAAGTTAATTGAAGTTGGTGGAGGCCGTGTAAGTTTAACGAGTTACGTGCTGTTGTGGAGTTTTACTTCGTGGAAACTACGTTCATTTTGGAATAAATCTTCTTGTTGCTGTTCCGACGACCCTGCGTTCAGTTTAGTTTGCAAGCTACCCGTCCTCTAAAAGATTACCCGCGTACAGGGACCGCGGAGGGGGAGGGGCTGGTAGGGCCGCGGCCCCACCACTTTTTTGCGTCCCCGCCCCCACTTTTTGCGCTAAAAAGAAAAATAATTAAAATTAAAAAAAGACTTGAAACAAGTTTTTTTCCGTCTATATTCTGCTATATTCTCTGTATTTTCTTTAATTTCAAACGCCAGGTATTTTGTGGGGCTCCTGTGCTTTTCGCGGTAATTGTGCCCTGGGGCCGACTTGCCCCTTGATCAAACGCCATGCCTTGGCCACGCCTTCGCTTTGTTCGGCAGCGTGTTTTGTACTTCCAGCTCCGGCAGAGTTTTTTATCAGTTTTATCAGACGAAATGAAGAAACTTACTAGCTTTTTCAAGCCAAACGAAGGTGAGTAATTGTTTTGAGTTGATAAAAGTTTTATATTTTGTCCTTCTCCTTTCGAATCAATGAAATATTCGATGGCAATAAGAATTACATGACTTGAACAGTGAACGGCCATAGTTAGAAATTTTTCAGATCACTTCAGTGTAGTATTTTCTATACTAAAATTGTAATCGCGTCTTTTCTTGCATTGAATCTGAAAGACATGGTTGAGATCGAACATGAAACAGCAGCGATTCAGCAACTTGACAGTACTTAATTGTCATAAGAAATTAACTGAAAGCTTGGACGTGATTCAGATCGCAAACACATTTGCTGGACGGAATGAAAATCGTATGAAGAATTTTGGTATTTTCACTAATGCCGACCTATAAAGAGCAACAAATACTGGATAAAGTATGCAAAGTCACTCGACAGAAACAAATCAAATGCTATGATTTTATTCCTTTTTTTGATTTTCAATATGAAAAAATTATTTTCAATTGTCAGCCCTCCCACTTTTCACCTTGCTCCGCGGTCCCTGGCGTAACATTGGGGGCCTGTCCGGGATAGAATTCAATTGTTTGCCGACTACAGTAACCAAGAAAGGACAGTTCAAGAAAAAGGAGTGTACAGAGAAGTAAGAAGAACTGCTACGACGAAGTATATCAAGTGTGATTGCTGTGAACTACTGCTATGGAAATGGAAAAGCTTTTGCAGATAGGCAAAGAATTTGGATTGGAGGGAGAAAAGCTGCTCGAGTTTGTAGAAAAACAACAAAAGTTAGAAGAAGAAAAGGAAGAAAAACGTAGGCAATTAGAAGAGGAAAAAGAAGAAAAACGTCGAAAACTTGAGGAAGACAGAAGAAAGGAAGAAGAAGAGAAAGAAGAAAGACGTAGAAGAGAAGACGGAGAAAGAGAAACTAGGCGGCAAGAACGCGAACTGAGAAAATTAGAGCTGGAAGCAGACCTGTTGAAGCAGAAAGAAGCTATTGAAGCCGCTAAGAGAGAGCATGAAGTAGAGCTCGCTCGTCTAGGACAAGGCCGTAACGTTGCCGAACACCCTGAAGTGAGAGAGGATAGGGCCAAGGCACCCAAGCTTCCCTCATTTGTTGATGGCAAGGACGACTTGGATGCTTACCTACAACGATTTGAGAGATTTGCAACCACAGCTAAATGAAAGAAGACAGGATGGGCTTCGAAACTTAGTGCTCTTTTGTCTGGACGTGCCCTAGAGGTTTATTCGCGATTATCTGAGGAAGCAGCCCAAGATTACGACCGAGTGAAGTTAGCTTTGATGAAGAGATATGACCTTACAGAGGACGGCTATCGCCGTAAATTTAGAGCATCAAAGCCGGAGGTTGACGAGAGTCCTGAACAGTTTATAGTGAGACTGGATAGATACTTGTTACGTTGGTTAGAGCTGTCGAACACTGATAAATCTTTTGAAGGCCTGAAAGATTTAATTGTGAAAGAACAGTTTATTGACTCTTGTCCAAAAGAGTTAGCTATTCACCTCCGTGAAAGAGCCCCGGAAACGCTTGCTCAGATAGCGAAGATCGCCGATCAATACTTGGAAGCAAATGGAAAGCACCTGTTCAGCTCTGCGAGCAAGAAGCCACACGTGCAGCCCAAGGTGGAGGAAACAAAGACTGCACAGAGTGATACAACAACCCTCCAGTGTTACTCCGATTTTTCCTGAGGTAGGGGGGAGGGGGTGTCTGTACACAGGCTAGCGAACTCTAAAGTTCAAAAGCCGCCTTCGCAATTGCGTTTTTCGCTGCCGTCAATCATAATTAAGATCCCAAGCAACGGACCTTGAAACACAGAAACACACACTGACGGATCGAAATCCACCAATCACAAATCGCAAACCTTGACCTTTTGAACCCGTTAAAGTAAAGTTTTGTTCCCTAAGAGGTCCGTTAAGATGATTGACGGCAGCGAAAAACGCAATCGTCGGTTGGCTTTTGATTTTCATAATTCGCATGTTTGTGAAAAGCGCAGTAAGTATAATCTTTAAAAGCGTTTGATACGCGCGGAATTTTGAGTATACTTCCGCATGCGATGTTCATTTAAGACTAAAAACAAAAGGCACAGCCATTAAAATTGCGGAAGAGACTACTAACAATCAATAATAGAAATATAATTCGGTGAAACATTTACAGAGACCACAACTTTCATTCACGAAGACAAGTACCGAGAGTAAAGTCTCTCTAAAAAATCCTGAGATTTTAAGCTTAGAACCTTGCAGATTTAACTTTATGTTTAAACCCGGCTTCGTGGTATTTGCTATTTTTTAAAGATGAAAGCGAAGCAGGAAAATCGCTCAAAGCTTTCTTTCTACAGCCAAAATTAAAACTAAATATCATTCGGATTCTTTTCTTTCTATTTGCGGTCAGAAAATGTCTAAAGGCTTTTTAAAGTTCTGTAAGCTTGTATCAAACCTGATCAAATCTTAAAAACGTGTATAAAACCGCATAAACTACTCTCGACTTCATAAAATAAAAAAAACCATCAAATACAAGAAGGACTCAGGCTTACTAGTCGAGATTCAGGTCCTGAAAGCCAACAAAGACGAAAACGGAAAGCGGAAAATGTTTCTGTATCCGTGTTGCCTAAAGAATTAAGGTTAGATTAATAAGATTAATTGTCATGTCCACAGATTTGGAAGATAGAGAAAAAGAAAGACAGAGAAAAAGAGGAAGTAAGGCGACAGGCCAGCGAAGCTCAAAGAGAAGAAGAGCTAGAGCGAGATAGAAAAAAAAGGGAGACATTTTTGTTGGAGGAACAACATGAAATTTTGTAGCGGCGGTGAGAAAATGAGAAATGCCGGCGGCCACCAGGTTGAAAATTAGCGACAGTGAAAAAAAGAGTGAACAAGAACACGTACCACATATCCTCCAAAACACGTGTAACCAGGAAGTTTCTGGAAGTTTCACATTGTAGTCGTGCAAAACAAGGCCAAAGAAATGTACAAAAAAATTGTGCTACACGTGCAAACTTGCTTGAATTTTTGCTAATTAGACCTATTGTTGTCTTTTCACCGTTCTCGTTGCTTTCGCCGCCTAGCATTACACGATTTAATATTTTGTTTGGAAAACTATAAATATTATCGAGAGCTTCGCCTTTAGCCCTGACTAAATCTATATATTAAAGTTGAGCAGTAGTTGAGACGACTGATGCGGTTCTAAATCAAAAAGGAACGCGTCATTTTGGGATGCAGGACTAGTACAGCAGTACAGTAACTTCTTATAGCACAAGAGATTTCGTAATATCATGTGTTTTGTACTTGGGATATAGTAATTTTACGGTAGACAGGAATGCCACGACTGTAGGTTAACAGTCAGATAGAGTTTTAGTTTAGTCACATTGACACAGTGTTAGTACAATCACAAACTCCACCTCAATAAAAAGAGGTGTTGCCATGTTATCTAGTAATTTTGTAAATAATATAGTCAATTGATATNATAAATATTATCGAGAGCTTCGCCTTTAGCCCTGACTAAATCTATATATTAAAGTTGAGCAGTAGTTGAGACGACTGATGCGGTTCTAAATCAAAAAGGAACGCGTCATTTTGGGATGCAGGACTAGTACAGCAGTACAGTAACTTCTTATAGCACAAGAGATTTCGTAATATCATGTGTTTTGTACTTGGGATATAGTAATTTTACGGTAGACAGGAATGCCACGACTGTAGGTTAACAGTCAGATAGAGTTTTAGTTTAGTCACATTGACACAGTGTTAGTACAATCACAAACTCCACCTCAATAAAAAGAGGTGTTGCCATGTTATCTAGTAATTTTGTAAATAATATAGTCAATTGATATGGTTCTTGCTTCACAACTGTGGCGACATCTAATCTCAACCCCACAACTGAAGCCCGGAGCAAATCAGATACTTTAATGCCATATTGCCGTGGATTTAAAATCGCCAGTTTTAACATTACCAGTCTTTAATTAAAACACATAGATGATCTCCACATGACGTCACGGCGGCCATATTGGTGTCCCAAACCAATGAAACGGCGGCCATGTTGGTGTCCCAAACCAATTCTCTGGGAGTTGTACTCTTTTCTTAAGCAAACGCTTTCTTTGTTCCAATAAATTTGCATAGATGCTGGCCAGATGAGTGAAAACACTCTATTACTCTAAATGATGACGTTCTGGCTATAAATCAGACCAGTCTAGATGGCAAAATTTCCCACCAAGAGGTAAAAATCCAGGGTTATAATTAAATATAATCCGCTGTGACGGACCTTAAATGGCAGGCTTGTCGGAAGTATATGTTTTTATTTCAGATCGAACTTGAACTATCCTGTCCGCAAAGACCTGGAGAACCAGCTCCTTTAAATTTTATTATGAATTATTATAAATGTATTATGATGTGTAAGACCTTACACGGGATGACTCCAGAATATCTACGATCAAGATTTGTTTCTCTCGACAACGTGAGCGCTTATTGTTCGAGAAACATCGGAAATAAACTAGTTCTTTCACAACTGCGCACTGATGATTTAAAAAGACGTTTTTCATACAGTGGAGCTCAGTTGTGGAACAACTTACATAAAGAAATTCGACAAGCGACCTCCTTAAACGATTTTAAGGTCAAATTTTAAATCGCCGCAGTTTTACGTAAAGTTTTAAGTATGATTATTAAAACACGGCCTCCATGAAAGGCAGTTTTTTTTTTATATTTTGTACCTATTTTGTTTGTAGTTAGGAATAATAATAATATTTAATATTTCTATGGCGCAAATTTACATATGCATATGATCAAATGCGCTTTACAATAATAAATATTAGTTAAAAAAAGAAAAGATGCATATCCTAATAAACATGCAGTATTTATTCGGCTATAATATAAGCGAAGCGATTTTTACACAAATTTTCTCTTAAGTCACCATATGAGGGGTTGGGAGAATTCTCGACAGTTATGCAAACCGGAGACGAAGTCGAGGGTTTGCATAACCGTCTCGCATTCTCCCAACCCCTATCGTGTTTATATCAGGCTATGCAAACACGGGAAACGTTTTCTATTGCTTAACTTAAATAATCGGGTGCAGCGCAGGAACTGCCTTAAATGTAAGAATGAGATAGGCAGTCAGTTATAATAATATATAGATTTAGCCAGGGCTAAAAGCGTAGCTCCAATTAATAAATTTATAATTTAAATCAAACAGTAAACTTGTAATCCACAAATCGGTTAATTGGAGAGATCCATACGACTGTTAAGGGTGGGGCTGGGTGACTTTAGAGAAAAAATAATTTGCAAACAGTGCAAGAATGAAACAAAATCTAAAATCTTACATCAGTTAATAGTCTTATTTGTAAACCTAATAAATAGAAATCACCTTTGGCCACTTAGATTAAGCGTAGAAATTCCTCCCAAACAAAATGACCTTTATATTCTAATTCGCTACCCCGCTCAAACGAATATAAAACATTTATCATGTAACAAGCAACCTCAATTGGGGTGTGTCAACACGAGCCGTGTGCGAACTAAAAGAACGGGAAATACGGAAAATTAAATACCCAGTGATAATGAAACCGACAACAATGAATGAACACTATCCTTAATGTAACCGTCTTTTGCCTTGTCTGATTTCCAACGGCCGTGTCTTTTAAACAATCTGTCAGGCACTCGAGCATTAGCAGCAGCGGAGGCGCCTCCGGCCCTAAGGCTATGGAGACCGTAGTCTTGCTTGGGAAGGCCGATGGAATCGAAAGCGCTAAGCACTATCTCCCGCGCTCTAGTATAAGACAAAGGAACAGACCCGCGCAATTTATAAGCTCCGGTACTGCGAAGAAAAACAAGAGGGCGAAAAATGAACTCTTCGCTGTCTGCTGAAAAAGAAGCGGCCACAAAATATCGTTGAACTAATAAATAAGGACATGTATGCTTGAAAGTTTTAGCGATAACAACCCAAGCCCCATCCCTGTAAACGTCAGTCTTACTTCGATGAACAAAGATTCTCATAAAAGAATCTTCAAACTGAAAATCACACCTGCGTAACTGAACCAACTCGTTAAAGCGAAAAAACCCTGCATAACCTAAAACGCACAAAGTAAGCACTCGTAAATCAGACAAACTAGCTGAAGACGATCCATACTTAGAAAATAAAAGCTGAATAGCCTCGGGGGTCACAGGCTCTTTCTTTTTAACAGGGATACTGA